CATCATTCCGCAGCTAATTGTTATATGAAATTCTTCATGCTGTTGTCTTGGCTAGGAATGCCTTTAATGGGACTATTCCTGGTTAAATTTAAAAAAAAAAAAAAAAAAAAAAATCCAGCTCACCCTTATGTATAAAATATACAATGGTGGACTGAGGGGGCGGAGTTGTCTCACCTTTAAGCTGGCAAAAGAGGTAGTCACAGTGCCAAATCAAAGTCTGTGTAAAAGGGACAGCCAGCAGGACGGGACGGGTGTGATGTTTTGATGACGTGTTATGAGTGCGACCCTCTGTCGTAGCACTTAAAAAGCAGTTAGCAGAAGTTAGTAGCTACGGCAAAGAAGGACAGCAGCTGAAAGTAGGGCTGGGTTGAAATATTCGCTTCATCTGATTAAAACGATCTTCACTGGAATGACACGATATTGATTCGTACAATCCAAGATTGATCTTTTAATATACGCTTTTTACCCACAGATGTGTGGAGCTTTAGCCCTGTTAATCTTGCCGATATTAAACCAGACGCTTAAGGGACTGTAGTATTGAGAAGCTCTGATGTTACCAGCTTTTTCATCTGTAACTGATGGCTGTTAGCTCACTATTTTACATTTGGGTGTAATTCATTATCATGCTGCAGCGTCTCCTCCTGCTGTCTGTGCGTCCTGGCTACTGCGCCACTTTTACGTACAAACACAGATACAGAGAGGTGAAGATAACGTGAGCTGACAGCTACGCTGGTTACTGTGTGTGCAATAAAACCTCCACAGGGGAAAAAGCCAATACTTCATCGATACAGCTGTTCAGCAACATGTAAACATGTAGAAAAATGATATTTCAGTCTGCTCTGTCCGCATCTCTCGTCCACCAAACACAGAGCACTTTCCATCTAATAGCAAGTTGTTACTAACAAGCTAAAACAACAACTGTTTATGATGGATGGTTTAGGTCAGTGTGTCTGGTATCTTAAACTTACCGGTGGTCATGTGACCTGTGGTCATGTGACCTGCAGGCAGTGAGTCTCCTCAGCAGCAGAGAGGACAGGACTGATACTGACTGACTGCCTGTGTTCTTTATTCTTTATAAACTTCCCTCAGTATTGTGATGTCAGGAATATGATTTATTTGTTTGACATTTTTATTTTGTTTCCAGTGAGATATTGGGTTTATACTGTGACTTTGCTGATTTAATATTACTGTTAATGCTCTAAAAGCAACACTTAGTTATAAAATATTCAGTTTTATTCCTGTTGTGTTTTTATTCTTTTAAAAAAAATAATTCCTTGTAAATATTACACTATTAGTTCACCGAGAATCTCTTTCACATATTGGCAAAAACTGGTATTGTAACTGATAAAATCTCCAGTCGAATCAATCATCAATCGGGACCCCTTGAATCAAAATCAAATTAATTCAGGAAATCAGTGGTGATACCCAGACCTAGCTGTGTCAGCAGATTGGGTAGACATTGAGATTCATGTCTGTTATTGTTTAGAGAATGTTGCCCAATGGCATGTTGTATGTCACACCTGTCATACGTTTTTTTGTGTAACACTGGCATTTGGTTGTGTATAAAAAGCAAAGCTTGTGTAATGACAGTACTTCCTTGCCACCCTATCGCATGATCTATGTGTAAAAAGGACTAGAGAGAAAGAAAGAAAGAAAGAAAGAAAGAAAAAGAAAAAGAAAGAAAGAGAGGGATGCAAGCTGCAAACAGCTGTTGCAGATGGGCTGTTGTTTATGCTGCATTTGGCTGAACTTTCAATGCCCCTTAGATCATGTACTAAGCACTTCATCTGCACAACTTTCACACTCTCCAAACAGCCTAATTGAGCCTAAAAGTTTATCTCCAGTGTAGGAGATAACATCTCCTAGATAGGAGATAAAACTAACGTTTGGCCAAAAAAATAAAAAATATTCACGTTGCTTCTTGGAGCTTCAGTATTTTTACTGCTTTTCACCAAAAACAAAACCTCACTAGGAGAGCAGGAAGTGAAAATCCACAGAGCAAACTCCACTAAGCCTTGAGGAGAAACTTACTATAAAGAAGCATACAGAGGTGAATTAGAAAGTCACTAAATTGTGAATGTTTTCCTGTTCTGTCTGACACTGCCTAAATCGTACAAAATGCACAGTAACAACTAGCTGCTTGCAATGGTCACAAAGAAATAAACCCAATTCCAACTTCATCAATCACATGAGATTACTATTTACACCAAGAGATGAGGCTCAAACTCCTCTGAGCTCAAGCTCAGAGTCCTCTGGGGGAGACAGAGTAGTCAAGTGAAACCCAAATGCCCTTGAAAAGTAATTTTAGTTGGCAGCCCTGTGCAGGAAGAAAGAATAAACTGAAATGGTAATAAAAGGAGGACGGGGATCTAAAGCTTAATCTCTACCCAATCACACACACACACACACACACACACACACATTAACTAGATATACAAAATCTGTGCACCAAATGAACTGTGTCTACATGAGAAAACTTCCAAGAGCAACATCAAAACTTCTGTGAAGTAACACACACACAGAAAGTCAACAGATCCCCACTGGCATCTTCAAGAGTCAGTCAGCGCACGCCAGCAATGTTTTCCACTTGTCAAGCTCACTCTGGTGGAACAACACACACACACACCCACACACACACACGACCAACAGTATGCAGGGAGAAAAAAATAGCAAAGAAAAAATCCTTTACAAGGGCAACTTGTGAAGCACCAAAAAAGCTCATTTGGCTACAATGCAAACTCATCTCCTCTGGTTTGAACATGTTTCATTTCACTATGAGCAGTCAAATAAAGCTGAAATGCCATTATGGTGACAGGATAAAGCACTCACCCACCACCACCACAGGGAACAGGGATCATAGCCTGACAAATTTTCCTCCAGCCTGACCGCGAACAGCGCTGGCATTGATTGCGGGTGGTCCTTGTCGCTGCACTAGTGACTCCTACTGGCTAGTCTGTGTGGCTCTAGAAAGGGGGCAGGAACCACTGAACATATACCTCTTTTCAACAGTCATATGCTGGCTTGGCTTAGGCCATCAGCATAGCACAGCAGGGATTTGCATTTCCATTTCAACAGAGCTAACCACTTGAAGGTGTGTCTTTAACTGATGAAGGATTGTCTTGAGTGATAATGTTCAAAAGCAGCAGGCTGATCCACAGCTCAAGTGCCCTGTTATTTTTGCTGCATGTGTTTTTCCCACAGGTAAAAGACGTTTACCTGTTGGAGATGAACTGTTTGCAGAGGTGCAGTAAGAGCCTGCTCTTCATCAACTTCTCACTGTGGCTGTTTCTGCTTTTACTCTTTCTCCCTGCAGTGATATTAGACTTGCCTTTATTAAAGTAAAGCAGCCAACAAAGTTCCGCTAATTCAATAATAAACATATTTCATTTCCTATAGATTGTTCACAATAAATAATAATTTCCTGCTGTGAAGCAGCAAAATAAGGAAATGTTTAGTTTTCGAGCAGCAACTTCACAAAACTTCTAATGCAGCTGATAGGGAACATGAAACAGTAAAATAAAGCAGATATCTAAAGTAAAAGCAGGATGCAGGAGAGAAACTAAAAATGCCTTTCTCTCTGGTCTCCTGCAGATGGAGGTGAGTACACACTTGGTTTGCTTGAGGGGGAGAAGGGGGGTTGTCGAGGGTTGGCTGCAGTCGGTGAGATGTCACCACTACCTGCTTTAGGGCAGGCTGCCCAGCTTTTGAACTACTCTGGGAGGGTCCATCTCTGGGGCAGTTCGGTGTGGCACAGCACATCTGAACTGATAATGGAAGCAAAAAACGGCGCTGCATGGCTTGACTCAGCGCGACCAAAAGTGATAGTGGAAAACCTCCAATAGTATGTGTATATCCTGATCAGGGTTGAGGTCAGTTGAAAATAGACAACTGGCTGCCTGCACCTCTCTTTCTATGCAGTAATACTGGAAACTGGCCCCAGCCAAAGTAATTTAGCCAGATTGTGTAAATTAAAGAGTTTCTTTGTAAACAAACAAAAGTTATGTTTGCATTCAGTGTAAAAAGATTGTGTGTATCAATCATTTGCAATGCAGTGTGCAAGTGTGCGTGAATGTTGGATTGACAGTTTCAGAAATTTACAGGGGTTTTTTTCCCCTAGGTTTTCAGCTCTTTACATTGTCTTTATTTTTATATGGTAGCTTTTTATGCTGTATTTTACGTATTTTATATTATAGTAGTGAGGGTTTACTACTGCCAATTTTGTGCTCTCTTAAGATTTCCCAAGTGTTCTCCTGAGGCCACAGATATGCAACAGTTTGAGAATTTACAGCCTAAATGCTGCAACAGCTGCAACTCTGTCTTTCATCCTTACACCATAAAACAGAATCTAATAGCATGGGGCAAAGACATTAAGCTCCATTAATTATGTTATTCATGTTAACTGCATAGGACTAGCAGATAAAAACAATAATAGTTTCTCCATGTATAAAGAAAATTACATTCAGAGGATTAACAAAAAGATTACAAAACCACCTTCAGTAGTAGTTTTATAAAGCTCCTGCTGTTTGTTTTTATTGAGAATGGGGCTGTATTCCATGACATCTCTCTGTATATCTGATGTTTCACTTCTATTCATTACCATCAGTACCATGTAACAGTGTTCCTAATGGATGATTTTTTTGCGAAGTATGCATTGAAAAATATTTTTACAGCAATAAAAATGAGGCTACAATGATGTACCATGAGAGAGCCTTCAGATCTGTTGAAGTTATTTTGGGAATTACTCAGGAATCTGTATTGGGAGCTAATTTCCTACATCTTAGAGTCAAATGCTTTCATTTTGGTGGGGGGAAGTTTCCTGTATTGATAAATCTGTTTTATTGGGGGGCAATCTCCTTTATGAGTGCAGCTGGTGCGTGCAAACTGGGGTCAGAGTTTCAGTATGGTATATAAGTCTGTACATTCTGAATGTTGGCAGTCTGTCACTTCTTCAGAGAGGAGAATTTCCCTCACATTATCCCTTCCCCTACATGCAGCCTTACCTTCCTCTTCTTGAAGGCCTGTCTGGCCAGGTATCCCCTGCAGGTAGCCTGGAACAGAGTAATGTTCCTCCTGGTCTGAACTTCTCGCTGCTCCTCCAGCCTGGACAGAGTCCCCGCTCTGAAGAACACCTGCAGGAGGAGAGGGAGACATATGGCATAGTCACACACAGTTCTTTTCTTTATGTCAGGACAGATGGTAGGAGAGGTTCACATATATTGTGGCCACATACAACTGCAGACACTGTTCAGTTACAAATATGTTCTCAACCTCCACAAAGACTTTGCACAGTAATGTACAGTACACCCACATGTTAAGCAATTGAGTGTGAAACTTCCTAGGATTTCAAGTGGGTTAAAATCTACTTGAAATCCTGTAGGTTTGTAAGAACTATTTTTTTATTAAAGAATCTCCTGAGCTCCATGTTGATATGACCAGATTTGAAAACAATGTAGAGTATATACGTTATCAACAACTACAGCCAGCTAGTTTCTGTAGCCCTATAAAAACCTGTTCACTGATCGAGCTGCACATACATGTAGCACTGACTGGTAATTGTCCTCTTTTGCACACAGACAAAATCTGTAAGAACCTCTGCCCAAATAATAGAGTGCTTAGCCATGGAAACCTGCCAATCCAGCAATTAAAAATTTCATAGAGAAGTTTATATCCTCCAAACATTTGCTACCAACCAAATCATTTTTTTTGCAAATCACAGATCTCTGACATGCAACTGGAATAGCACCCAGGTAGCACTAAATACAGATTCAGTGACCCACAGGGTCCAGGGTTACTAAGTTACAGCCCTGTTGGAGGACTGTTATCAAAATGTTTTGTTGCTTGTCAAAGCTATAGATGGCCTGATCTAGATTTGAGCCGTATCTCAGTTGAGTTAGGGCTCATTTATGCTCAGCGTTAGAGACAGAGACTGATGGAGTCTTCTGTCCGTACTCTGCCTTTATTTTGTCTGTATTTTTGCACATATCCTGCAAGTCTACGGACATGGCCGAAACAGAGCAGTACCAACAGAGATCGTGGAGGCAGTGTAGTGTATGCAGAAACTTTTGACTCCACCCTCTAGTGCCATCTATTGGCTGTATCTATGCCATCATAAAGGACTGCACAGTCTCATCTTAGGTGTTCCACACATGGGCCATTTGACTCAGGTCAATTGATGCCCCAAGCTCAGACTGAACATGCCATGCAGGTAAAAGAAGTAGTCTAATAGGGATGTGCCGATGCAGTAAGTGAATGTGATAAAAATTTCTGCTCTTCTGAAACTGATGTGCATCGCTGCTAAGGAATATGACAGTGGCGTATCCTGCAACGATGGGCATTAAGTTGCAACGAGTGTGCTGGCTTACATGGAAAACAAAGGCTGTGGGTGTTTACAGCTTGCTACTCTGATGCTCTCAGCTTCGGCCTAAAAAACAAGACAAAGCCGAAGCAGGAAAGACGCTCCACAGTGTATTAACTTTTGAATTCAATGTATACCAATGGAAGGATGAGACTCCCAAGTATTCTGACAGGGCTGCAGCTTGGCAGAGATTTTGTATCACGGAGAGTAAAGATAAATAATTTCAAAATAATTCAATGTTTTTGGCATCATGTCACACAGATCATTTGTCAGATGGAGACAAATAAAAGTTGACGGCTCAGCAACATGTTTGTCCTCTATTCATTGTGTCGATACATGACCTTACATTGGAGCCAACTGACAACATGCCGACCTGTTCTTGCTGGCAGCAGGTTACTGTGTAATCCCAGTAAATATGCCACCCAAAAATGTTGCAAATGCAGATTTGCATTTTTGCAATATGTTGTGTTAATTTCCCTCAGAGTTGCTCGATGCTTGTGTTATTATTTTTATTCTTCTTGTCCAAAGCAACTATCTCTGTGATTTTATAGCCTGATCATTATAGTCTTGTCCAGAACACCCCTGTGCCTTTCATCTCCTTTGCTGATCATTTGGGCAGCAGTAGTGCTTCTTCCTGAATACCAATGAGTGTACAATTTCATTTTTGACTGTAGAGAGTCAAGATGGGCTGACACTGCGCCCTCTGTAAAAGCCTTCATCATAATGCCTCCAACTCCTTTTTGATAATTTGTGTCTGGGGATAGACATTGCCCTGTTCCTCAGCCCTGAATTAGCTGGTAGCTCTTTGTGGAAGTAGATTCATTAAGCAGAATTTGAGTGACGCTTTGTCCTTCAGAGAATGTGACTGTTCCAAACTCTGACTGTAATTTTCAAAATCGGCTGAGCGAGGGAGAAAGTACAGCTTGAAGTATGGCCAGAAATTTTTTGTACTGTGCAATAAGTATTGACCCAGCCTACAAGCATTTTTGAATTTGAATGTATTTAATTGATAGGGATGATGCTATTTAACATTCCAACATAGCTTAGATAGAAAATGATAGGTAAAAAATACAAGAAAATATGTTATAGTGCAGTGTAAGAAACAATAATTTTTGATTTAATAAAAGTTAGTGGCAAAAGAAGTCTTAAGGCTTGATTTGAAAGACCTAAGAGTTGCTGCGGGCCTATAGTTTCTGTGAGTTTGTTTCAGATATATGGTGCACATAAACTGACGATGTTTCCCTGTGTATGGTTTTGACTATGGGGGCACAAAGCAGACCCACCCAGAAGATCAAGAGGTATGGATGGTTCATAGTGTAGTAGAAGATCAGAAATGTATTTTGGCCCTAAACCTTACAGTGCTTTATAAACCAACAGTAGTATTTTAAATGGATTCTCTGAGAGACAGGAAGTCAGTGTAAAGACCTCAGAACTGGAGTGATGTAATCCACATTCTTGATCTTAGATCGGAGTCGAGCAGTAGTGTTCTGAATAAGCTGCAGCTGTCTGAATGATTTTTTAGGGAGACGTGTAAAGACACTGTTGCAGTAGTCAAGCCTGCTGAAGATAAATGCATGGAAAAGTTTTTTCCAAATCCAGCTAGAGACATAAGTCCTGTAAGTCCTTGAAATATTCTTAAGATGACAGTATGCTGACTTTGTTATCTTCTTAATGTGACTATTGAATTTTAGGTCTGAGTCCATGACTACACCAAGATTTCTGGCTTGGTCTGCGGTTTTTAACATTGCTATTCAAATCTAAGTGCTGACTTCTGATCATTCTTCCTTTGCTCCAAATACTATTACCTCAGTTTTGTCTTTGTTTAATTGAAGAAAACTGTGGCAGATCCAATTGTTGATTTGTTCAATGCATTTAGCCAGAGCTTGTATTGGACCATAGTTCCCTGGTGATACGGTTATGTAAATTTGTGTGTTGTCTTCAACTGTATTAACATATTTTGTGGTTTTTCATAATGTGAGACAGTGGAAACATGTAGATGTTAAACAGAAGAGGCCCCCTAATGGAGCCTTGGGGAACTCTGACTGTTATTTTTGTCCACTCAGATGTATAATTACATATAGACACAAAGTAGTCCCTGTCTTTTTTGTAAGATTTTTCTAAGATTCAAACCAGTTAAGTATGCCAGAAAGTCCCTCCTTATTTTCCAGTCGTTCCAGTAATATTTTGTGGTCGACCTTGTCAAATGCAGTACAGAGATCCAGCAATACTAAGACAGAAATTCTGCCACTGTCTGTGTTTCAGGGGATGTCACTGAAGACCTTTATAAGAGCAGTCTTTGCTGTGGTGAGGTGAGGTAAAAACTTGAACAGAAAACATCAAAAAAACAAACTAAGGCACATACTGGCAATCACACAGCGGTCATCCCAGTCACATAGTGGTTAGCACTGTGTTGGGAAGGTAATTTTAAAATGTAATATATTACATATTACCAGTTACTTTCATTTGAAAGTAATATTCGTGTCTCTGTAGAGTAATGTGTTATTAATTAGACTACTTTTGAGTTACTTTCACCAAAATAACTGCACACAGTTAAGATCATCCCGTCAACTCTTAACCGTCCGTCCAGTTATGGGCTCTCTGTTTGCACGACCTTCCCATCCAGTAACCTGTTCACATACTGAAATGTGTGATGAGGGGGGAAGGTGTGGTGACACAGGGCACACTGACTGACCACAGGTCAGTGTATATCCTGGCAGAGCTAACCAGCTAACCAGCTCTGCCAGGAAAGTCAGGGAGTTTGGCGATGCTTCTACAGTCACTAGAAGCATGCCCCTTAAAAAGAGTTATTACATGGGTACCTACCTTACCTGTGTGTCATAGTCCTGCTGTTGCAATGCTGTTAAAGGTGAACATTACTGTCTGTCAGCCCTGAATATCAAATGAAACTGAAAATAGCACAGTCGTCTGCAGGCCCATGTGTTGTTTAGAAAAAAGATAAATCTCTTGTTGATGTCTGATGGCATCATAGATTTGTTTTCTCTGATGACATGTCTTAGGAAAAATGTTCTTGTATATAAAAGCATTTCAAAATGAATGGCTCCTGCTAGTTTCATCCTTGGTGGTGCACTGAAACAGATTTTTTGAAGAAAATGCTTCTACCAGCAAAAATGAACTGTTGGCATTTTGTAGATTCTCTGTGACGACTGCTCCTATTGTACAGTGTGACTAGGGTGTAGGATTAGTAAAACAATTTCTAAGGCCCCATCACACTTGCATCGCACTGCACCAGCTTTTTTTTTTTTTTTTTAAATTGAATGCCACTTGTAAAAAAAAACAAAACAAAAAAAAAACGCTTGTTGTGCCTTTTTATTGTTGCCAGACAACCACCCCATGACCTCCATACCCTAACCTTTTCGGGTAATCAATCTACTGTTTATTTTTATTTATTTATTTATTTTTTTAATTGATTACACAGTAATTAGTAGCTAGTTCCTAAAATGGACAGGCAGAGGGTACTTGCTCTAGCTCTGGCCGAGGGCGAGAGGCTGTCAGCAAATAGTTTGTTGGGCACAGGGAAAAAAGAGATCTGTGTGGGTCCATGAGACCCTAAAGAAGAGGGTGGATCACAGGAAGTACCACCAGTACTCCAGCCATATTTTAGGATGACTCAGGGGCAGTTCGACAACCTTTTGTCTATCGTCTGGTCGAGCTGAACAAAAATGAATACTAACTACAGGGAGCCCACTGGTCCTGCCAAGCAACTGAGCACCACCAGTTTCTCCTCCGTTGTTTACCAATTGTAAACTTGTTGTC